GGGACACGGGGACACAGCTTGGGACACGGGGGTGAGGAAATCGAGGCAGGGAGTGAGGGACACACAGGGGACACGTGGAGGGGACACGGGGACACACCTTGTCGACGCAGGTGTCGAAGAACTCGAGGCAGGGCTCGCGGTCGCTGGCGAAGGAGCAGTCCTCGATGAACTGCGTGAAGAGCTGCGTGCGCAGCAGCTGCCCGTAGAAGCGCTGGTACGCCCGCTCCCGGGAGCGCAGGAACCCTGCGGGACACGGGATGGGGTCATCGGGATGGGATCCATGGGATGGGATCCATGGGATGGGATCCATGGGATGGGATCCATGGGATGGGGTGGGGTCCATGGGATGGGATCCATGGGATGGGGTGGGATCCATGGGATGGGATCCATGGGGTGGGGTCCATGGGATGGGGTGGGGTCCATGGGATGGGATCCATGGGATGGGGTCCATGGGATGGGGTGGGATCCATGGGATGGGGTCCATGGGATGGGGTCCATGGGATGGGATCCATGGGATGGGATCCATGGGATGGGATCCATGGGATGGGGTGGGATCCATGGGATGGGATCCATAGGATGGGGTCCATGGGATGGGGTCCATGGGATGGGGTGGGATCCATGGGATACGGTGGGGTGGGACAGGATCCATCAGATGGGACGGGATCGATGGGATGGGATGGGATGGGATGGGATGGGATGGGATGGGATGGGATGGGATGGGATGGGATGGGATGGGATGGGATCCATGGGATGGGGTCTATGGGATGGGATCCATGGGATGGGATGGGATGGGAAGGGACGGGACGGGACGGGATGGGATGGGATCCTTGGGATGGGACCCATGGGATGGGATGGGTTGGGATGGGATGGGTTGGGATGGGATCCATGGGATGGGACCCATGGGATGGGACCCATGGGATGGGATGGGATGACATGCCCAGGGTGGCATGCACAGGGTGGCATGGCACAGAACAGAACGCACAGAACAGGACGGCACAAAGACGAGATACAACCAGAGGAACGGGCCAGGACAGACCTCACAGGGACACACCCCGGGCTCGCCCCCCGCGCCCGCCCGTTTGCCCACGCACCCTGCAGGGCGAAGAGGCTGCCGGCGTCGCGGCCGGCCGGGGCGGGCGCGGGCGCGATGGGGCGCAGGAAGGAGCGGTAGCCGCGCAGGGCGCAGGCCATGAAGCGCAGG